AGGCACCAACGCCCACGGCCTCCCTGCAGAGGCAGATTCCAATTACCCAAGAGCTTCCCACATACTTCAGCCCGGAGCTAGTTGACCCCCACCTGGCCAGAGTGACAGAAAACCTTGGAAGGACACCATGGGCCAATATCACAAAAAGCAGGCAGAGGGAGCCCCGGCGAAGCCCTGATAAAGCAGAAACATTCCTGTGTAGAATACTTTGGGTGTTCAAGGCCGACGCCTGGTGTCTCATAGCAAAGTCACTTCCAGCCTTCACGAGAGCCCTGCATGACTGCTCGGGGCAGATACATGTGACCCAGCATCTCCTTCCAGGTTTTAACTCAGCAGAGCTACTCTAGCGCCATCATTTCCCAGCACCCTTTGCAACGGCCATGGCGTATGACCAGCCAGGTAGCAGGGCCTGGAAACAGAAGCTTACGTGCAACCTTCCTGCAGTGCTCAGGGGAGGCCTCCTCCTACCCTGGCTGGAGCTTCAGTTGCCAACATTTTGGACCACGTGTTGCAGATAAGGGATGGCGTGGGAAGTAAGATAGAAACTACGATGCCCAAGGTCACAAGGTCACAGTACTAGTTCTTGGTTATCCCCATGCCCCAGCTCCGACAAAATAAATGAGAGAAAGACACAGGCAAGCCGGGTTTTGCTTTGCTGTTTTAAACTTGTTGACGTTACCATGAAGCCAAATGCCTGAAATGGCCCATTTTACAGATGAGCAAAAGTCTTCCTTAGGTGGCTTAGCGGGTAAAGACTCTGCAACACAGAAGACTGGGGTTCGATCCCTGGGTTGGGAAGATCCCCTGGAGAAGGGAACGGCTACCCACTCCAGCATTCTCGCCTGGAGAATCCCATGGACAGAGGAGCCTGGCGGGCCACAGTCCATGGGGTTGCAGAGTCAGGCACGACTGAAGTGACTGAGCACTCCATGGACAGAGAAGCAAACGGAGAACCGGAGGTCCAAACCCCAGCTGGACGTCAGCACACAGTAACACCAGAAGCAGGGCTGCTCTGACCCGTTTCCTCCTCAACCCCGACACCTTTCAACAAAAGAAGGCTCCTTTCGGATGAGTCTGCCATCACCCTACTCAGCTCAGCTTATTACTCTAACAAGATATATATTTTAGAATTGGAGACCCAGCCCAGTACTTTGGTTAAAAATGTGGACTCAGGAGCTACTCTGTCTGAGACTGAAACCTAACTCTGTTCTAGAAGGTCCATCACCCTCATGCTTCAGTTTCTGTATCTGGACGAGAGGCAGGGATGAGTGTGAGGTGGTTGAGGCACTCCCCTCCAGTGCAAACGGACAGGGGTGCCCAAAATCTCACTGATCAAGGAAAGTATTTTAATGCAATTTTTCTAAAGACCAAATTTAACACAGAAAATCCACAATGAACAAAAACATCACAATCTTAAAAGACAGGACCAAGTCCTGCCTTAATTCCCAAGCTAACTTCTAATAAAACTTTAAAAAAAACAACAAAAAAAGCAGCTGACCTGTAGTCCGTAGTTTGCTAATTTAGAAAATATATTGTTTTTTGTTTTTTTTTTTTAATATATCACTTTAAAACATGTGATTGCTGAGTTTTGAGTGCCCTAGGCCAGTGCCTTCCTCATCTCAACCTAGTTCCAGCTCTGGATAGCACCTGACAGAAGGAGATGAGTCAACAGAGGTCAAGTTCTTATCACAGTGCCTGGCTCAGAGTAAGGACTCACACCAACATGGCATCAGCAATTGAGGCTCATTCTTTTCAAGAAATTAAACACAGGGACAAACGAACTCGTGTCCTACAGTGTTCAGAAGGCAGCAGGAAGCCTTAAGCAGAGGAAAGCAAGAGGGGATCACCTTGATTTTTTAATTCTTCACTGGACATTTTATAGCTGCACTAGACGTCCAAAGGCTTTAGCATCTCCCAGCCCCTAATCTCCCCGGTAGCTCAGCTGATAAAGAATCTGTCCGCCATGTGGGACACCTGGGTTCGATTCCTGGGTCGGGAAGATACTGGAGAAGGGATAGGCTACCCATGCCAGGATTCTTTGGTTTCCCTGGTGGCTCAAATGGTAAAAAATCTGCCTGCAATGCAGGAGACCTGGGTTCAATCTCTGGGTTGGGAAGATCCCCTGGAGAAAGAAAGGGCTACCCACTCTAGTATTCTGGCCTGGAGAATTCCATGGACTGTATAGAGTTGGATACAACTGAGTGACTTTCACTTACAACCTGGAACTTGGGCTTCCCAGGTGGTGCTAGTGGTAAAGAACTCGATTCCTGGGTCAGGAAGATCCCCTGGAGAAGGAAACGGCAACCCACTCCAGTATTCTTGCCTGGAGAATCCCATGGACAGAGGCGCTTGGTGGACTACAGTCCATAGGGTTAGAAAGAGTCAGACATGACTAAAGCAACTTAGCACGCATGTACACAACCTGGAATTTAACCTATCTCTGCAAGGATATCAAACCAGTCAATCCTAAAGGAAATCAGTCCTGAATATTCATTGGAGGACTGATGCTGAAGCTTCAATATTTTGGCTACCTGATGCGAAGAACTGACTCACTGGAAAAGATTGAAGGCAGGAGGAGAAGGGGATGACAGAGGATGAGATGGCTGGGTGGCATCACCAACTTGATGGACATGAGTCTGACCAGATTCTGGGAGTTGGTGATGGACAGGGAAGCCTGGCTTGCTGCAGTCCATGGGATCACAAAGAGTCGGACACGACGGAGCGATTGAACTGAACCTATCTCTTGCATGAAACTGTACCGGCGTAAAGGGACCCCAGGAAATTTGCCATTCTTTGTGTTTCTCCTGTGTTTTGACATATCGATTACCTTACTGCTTGCACTCAATAGCCAAGGTCAGGAATCAGCAAAAGACAGCCCTCCAAATCATGGCCTGCTTTTTGTAAATAAAGTTTTATTGGCACACAGCTATATCCATTCACTTACCTGTTGTCTCCAGCATGTTTGATAACTGGCAGAGTTGAGTGATTGTGCTACAGGGGTGAACAGAGTTGAATAAAGACTGAGGCTAGCAAAGCCAAAAATACTTACTGTCTGGACTTTTACTGAAAAAGTTCCCCAGCCCCTGGTCCATGTGATGCCACACTGCAAATATTCATTAATCAACGGCCCCTTTGAGATCGATGTGCACCTTGCAAAACACAGCTCGGTGCAGAAACCAGTTCACGGCCTCTTAGCTACTATGGCTATTTCCAGTTTCATTTGGCGATGGCTGTATATTTTAAGTCTCAATCCTCATTTCATAAAGTTTTGTTGGCATACAGACAGTCTGGTTGCTTTTGTGAAGAGAGTTTAGTCACGGAAGAGCCCGTATGGCTCCATAAAGCCTCAAATATTTACTATCTTTTTGCTTTTTGCTGACCTCCACTCCACTGGGGATCCAAATTCGCTAGGTGATACCAGTGTGGATCCAAGACCCTTGATAAAATGCCTTCTAAAGAGGCTGATATTGTCCCTGTTTCTTTGAAGAGCTATGACACCAGAAGTACAAGGAACGTTTATATGATTTCAATCTTTGTGTTCCCACTTGAAAGGTCAACAGCCCTTCTGTTACTAGAACAGAAACACAGATAAGACTCATGACAAACGGCAAAAGGTGACAATAGAATCTGTACCATGCACCAGCAACCAGGAATGAAACGCTTCTGAACCGAAAATAGCTATAAAACAAGAAAGTTATTAATTCTCTCTGCCATCATTTCTATCTTTTCTTCTTACAGTCGTTATCGTTCACCTTGAGCCAAATGAAATCAGATTTGTTCAAACAAACCTTCTAAAACAAGCTCTGTATGTCTATTTCATAAGTGAAATAGTCACCTTTACAATCTATAAGTAATCTGTTTTCACATTCCTGTTCCCAGTTTATCAAAAACAATGGATCTATTCAGTGTTTCAAAGGCCCAGATATTTAGCTTGATGAGGGCACACAAGAATCTGTATTAAACAAAGACTGTATCTGAAGAAAAGACGAAAGCAGCTTTGGATAAATTATATATCCACTGGCATTCCAAGACCTCTTAAGTTTCGGTCAAGTTAAATGTCCATTTACAAGAGACTTGGGGTTTCCCTTATTTGTTGGTTCAGCAAACACCAAGTGCTTACTATGATGAAAGACACTAGTCCCAGGCTTTTCCAGGCATCGCCATGTCCCACAGTGAAGCCCAGGACCCACTGGGTCCCTACTCTCTTTTTATGAACAGAAATACACAAATCTTGAATTTCACAACACAGTTACTGGCTGAGCTAGCGTTAGCTTGATCTCTGGCGCCACCTACAGATCAAGCTGCATTTTGCTTCACTGTGGCACTGAGACACTCAGAAATCCCAGGTGCATTTGCAATGAAATTGCCACGTGCTGGAGGGCACTGGAGAACCTGCACACTGTGAAAGACCACAAAAATGGAGTGTCCCTCCGACACCACTCTACAGACGAGCTTGCCTTTTTATTATAAGACAACAGATAAAAGGAACCACACGGAAAACATATAAGGCGGGTACTCTTAGAAACCACCACCCAGGTTAAGAAGTAGAACTTTTCCGGCCACCCCAGACCCTCCACATACCCCGACATCCCCTTAAACCTGCTCTATGTATCGATCAGTGTAGTTTTTCCACGTGGTCTAACTCGTTTGTTTCATAATCCCATCGGGGGCGGATCAGTTTTAGAACCGGAATCCATCGTAAGGGAACTATCCCTATTGGATAGAGCAGTGCTCAGTGGACCCCCCGATCTTGGAACCGAGTAAACTTGCTTAGGAGATGCTTGGAGGGAAGACAGATACGAGGAGTGCGGTTGGGGGATGTGTCTCCACAAGGCTGCCTTGGCGCCTGCCCTCACACCCCGGTGACTGCGGCCATGGCATCTGCAGGCCTCAGGGTGGAAGCAGGCATCTCCGGAGCGGGTGAGTCCAGTGTGGCTCGAGGGCTGGGCGGCCGCGTTGCGTCCGGAGATCCGGCTGGCTGACCACCCTTTCCGGGGGTCCTAGAGGCACTGGCTGGACTCCAGGGGCGCCTCGAGCTGCCCGACGGAGACCAGCGCGCCCAGCTGCCCGGGGGTGCCGCTCTCGGGCGGGAAGGTGACCAGGCCCGAGCTCCGGTGCTCACCGTGGTCGCGGTGCTGCTTCCGATGGCAGCGCAGAGAGTCGTCCCTGACGAAGGCGGCGCCGCACGTCTCGCAGCGGAAGGCCCTGTGCGTCACGATCTTGGCCACGGGCGGCCCCTCCCGCCCCGGCGGGGCCCGGTTCTCCGTCCGGGCCTCGTCCCGATGCGCCTTGTCGACGTGCTTGGCCAGGCTGCTGGGCCGCTTGGTGTCGAAGCCGCAGAGGTCGCACTTGAAGGGCCGGTCGGGGCAGTGCACGCGGCTGTGCACGCGCAGGGCGGCCGCGCTGGAGCAGGAGTAGCTGCACTCCGGGCACTTCTCGGGGTGGTCGGCCCGGTGCAGCCGGCTGTGCTCCAGAAGGTCGGCCCGGTCCCGGCCCTGGAAGGCGCAGTGCAGGCACTTGAAGGTGTGCTTGATGCGGATGTGCGACTTCAGGTTCGCCTTCATGGTGCAGCGGACGTCGCAGAACTCGCACTTGAAAGGCTTCTCCCCCGAGTGCACGATCATGTGCCTTTTCAAGTCCGAGCTGATTTTGAACTTGGCGCTACAGAGCCAGCACTGGAAGGGGGTGTCCCCTGGCAACGGGAAGGTGCGTTTCCATTAGAGCAGGCAGGTAACAGAGCCCCCCCCCGCCCCCCACCCCCCACCCCCCACATGCGTTCAGAACGCCTGGCGGCAGACAGCTAGGTCCTTAAAACTCCAATCACTCCTCACCTCCTACCAGCACCACGTGAGAACACTGTGTATTAAAACTTGCTTAATCCGCATAGCAATCCCACGTGTCAGTGCTACCCCCACTTTAACAGATGGGGTAACTGAGGCTCAGAGAGGTCACGTCATTTGACCATGGCCAAACAGCATCATGGCACCCAAGTCCACCCTCTTCACGACACTTCAGGTTCAGATCTAAACTCACTTGACATCTCAGATTTGGACACAGAAGGAAGAGGTGTGGTTATGTGATACAAAACTGTTTCAAATCAAGATTTATAAACATGCTCACTTTGGGGTTTGGACTTTCCCCTGTGGCTCACACAGGAAAGAATCTGCCTGCAACGTGGGAGACCTGGGTTCGATCCCTGGGTTGGAAAGATCCCCTGGAGAAGGGAATGGCAACCCACTCCAGTCTTCTTGCCTAGAGAATTCCATGGACAGTCCATGGGGTGGCAAAGAGTCGGACACGACTGAGCAGCTAACACTTTTACTCTTCATTTTAAGTTGTATTATTACATCAGTTAACTGGCTTGTATTAAAGGTTTGCAGTTTCACACCGAAAGACTGAATTTTATTTATGAAATTAACCCATGAATATGGCAGCAGGAGCAGAAGACAAATCATGAATTGCCATAGTCTCCTCTACACTCCCTGCAGGGATGGCTAAGGGTTTAGTTCTTTGGAGGCTGTTACTTTAAACACCACTGTCAGTTGATTATAGGCAAAGATGAGATTGTTACATATCCTACACAACCATCCTTTCCCCAAACTTCTCCTACATTCTGTTGGTTGTGATTTTGACTCATCTAGCATCACTCTCTAAAGCAAGTATTAGCTTCAGTGTTTAGTCCATTGGCTTGAGAGGTTTAAGGATGCCTTTCTCTTTGCCACTACCTCTCTTTGCTTGAGAAACGGCTTTATTTCACTTGATTTTCTCACCTCTTTTCTTCCTGACCTTGCCAGAAACCAGACTTCTATCTTCTGATTGTCAGTTCTCCAGGTTTTTTTCTGCTCTCTGAAAAGTTGATTATAGCCAGCAACCCTAGTTTCAATTCATACTGCTTTGTTCTACTGTTTCTAACAGAACTCTTCTTAGATGCAACATTCCTGCCAGTGGGTGGATACCAATGAGAACTAAAAAATTCTGGTAAGTTACGCAAGTACTTTGCTGTCTCCAGGATTTGTTGTTAGCCTTGGCACATTTCATACCACTTATTTCCTGCAGATGACTCATAATCTGCAGATGACACTTCAAAGTTAGGGGAGGAGATCAGTTTAAGGACTCGACATTCGATGCGTTTTCCCTGTGACTCAGCGGTTTGGGCCATGATGCCGAGAGGCTTCAGCTGCTCCTCTGACCTCTGACGCCTGCACCAGCTCCAAGTCCAGAACACCCAAGGCAGTCGGACGCTGGCTGCAAAGATTAGCACCCGACTCTATGGCTGCCTCCCACTAGTCTGCTGGGACACAGGTTTCTTGACTCAATTTTGTATGTCAGTATATGCCGGTCTGCGTGCCATTTGCCAGGCATTCACTGGAAATTCTAATTTTCTGACTCTTTTTATGAGCTTCCCCGACCCCCCTTTTTCTGCACTGTGATGGGTTAGTTGGTTCTATCTCGTTATTTCAAGTGTCTCACACAGGGAGGGAAAAGCTTTTCTGCAAAGCCTAATTTCTAGACGCTTGTGATTACATTCAGGAAATTTTGCTACACGTTTCTTGTTTTAATTAGAATATAATTGCTTCACAATGTCATGTTCAACAGAGTGCGTCAGCTGTATGCACGTCAGCTGTATGCACACACGCATCGCCCCCCTCCAGCCTTCACCCCACCCTGCTCCTCCCCGCCCCCAGGCCGACACAGAGCACCAGCCTCCCTCTAGCCAGCCGTTTCACACGTGGCCACGTTTCTGAATTAAGCCGCACAATCAGAGTTGACGTTGAATGACAGAAACACCTAGTTTATTCATCAGACTTTTATTGAGATGCACGCTTTGCTTCCTGCGTGTTGAATTGGATAATCGCCCCCAGCTGTATTCTGCACAGGCAAGTTAGGAAACTCAGCTGTCAGACGTCCAGTGTTGTACTAGAAGCTGCCGTCCCAGCGGGAGAAACCACAGACTTCGCTGTCAACAGGGAAGCCCCAGATTCCTTTCCTCACACCCTGGAGTCACTGAAGCTGCCTGTGCTTTAACTAAGCGACCACCGAGGGGCCAGAGGTGCAGCAAGGCCCGGGACTTACCGGTGTGGGAGCGCAGGTGCACGGTGAGCTGGCTGGAGTTGCGGCTGGCGTAGGGGCAGAGCTGGCACTTGTAGGGCCGCTCGTCCGAGTGGATGCGCAGGTGCTTCTTGAGGCTGCTGCTGTCCACGGCCGCGTAGTCACACAGATGGCACTTGTGGGGCTTCACGCTGGTGTGGCAGCGCATGTGCATGGTCAGGTTGTCCTTGCGGCTGAAGCACTTGGCACAGAACTCACACTTGTGCGGCTTGTCTCCTGCAAACACACAACCAAGAGTCGCGGCTTCAGGGCCTTTGTCCATCAGGACAACGGCAGAGATGGCCGACCAAGGCGGCGGCCTGGGCCCCAGGCTCTGCCTTTTCCTTCGGACCAAATGCCCGGAGACAGGAAGACACCGAGGTCTAGATGGGCACCATGGGATGCGAGAAGGGGTGCTGTTTCATTCACGGCTCAGAGCTTGCGAAGCCTCCCGAGGAGCAGAGATAAAATCAGGCTGAAAGGAGGCCATAGGCCAAATCTTGTTTGGGAAAATGAGAGCGCTCCTAGAAGTAGTCGAGATCGGAGGGGGCAGGTGGCGGACACTGAACGGCTCTCGGGCTCACTAGCTGATGAGCCGCCTGGAGAGCGGTTAGGGTGACTTCCCTGACTTGGGCTAAACCACAAGCAGCTGAGGCACCCACCTGCCGGGCTGTCAGGAAGGGAGGCTGCTTAGGCTGGAGAAGCACCGCCAAGGCTCCAAGCATGTGCAGGTTCCCGGAGAGCAGAGAACCCCATGCCCAGAATATCGCCACCAAACTGCGTTCCTCCTCCTCCCACAACTACTCCAGATGGATCACCTCCAAACAAAAACCTCCCCTGGAACCCACTGATCAGGGAAACCCAGAATGGGAAGGCATGCCCAACTAAAGAACCCGGACTTAAAGAAGATAACTGTTTGACACCAAAACCAGACATGGGTCTTTAAAAGATTGTTTTGGGTTGTGCGTGGCTTGGGGGATCGTTGTTCCTTGACAAGGGATCGAACTCAGGTCCCCAGCAGGGGCAGTGCTGGGTTCTGACCACTGAACTGCCGGGGGATTCCTCAGACATGGGTCTTAAGATGGATCAATTAGAGGCAGAGTGGGACAGTGTCCAAAGCCGAAGAATGATGACATCCTAAAGCTTTCAGGATAGGGAGGGAGGTGGGAGGGGGGTTCAAGATGGGGAACACGTGTAAATCCATGGCTGATTCATGTCAATGTATGGCAAAAACTACTACAATATTGTAAAATAATTAGCCTCCAACTAATAAAAATAAATGGAAAAAAAAATAAAGCTTTCAGGAAAAAAAAAAAGGCCCAGATGAGCACACAACTCCTCAGACAACACCAGATGGTAAAAAGATGGGAAGAGTACCTGCAGAATTCCATAGAAATTACTGAAATAAAACCTTGTACTTGAACTCGCTTCCCCAGTGGCACAGGTGGTAAAGAATCCGCCTGCAATGCGGGAGGCCTGGGTTTGATCCCTGGGTTGGGGAGATCCTCTGGAGGAGGGCCTGGCAACCCATGCCAGTGTTCTTGCCCGAGATCCCCATGGACAGAGGAGCCTGGTGGGCTACAGTCCATGGGGTCGCAGAGAGTCGACACGACTGAGCGACTAAGCACTCAACTTAAGTGGGAAGAGAAAATAAAGCCAGTTGACAGATCACACAAGGCATCACACTTGAACCGTGTATATCACAACAACAACAAAAAGGTAAGCGGACAAGATGTGGGATATAAGTAATGAAATGGGAAGGACTGCTTTCAAACCGGAAAAGAGAAGGCTAAAAAAAAAAGGGGGGCACAACAGAACAGAAAATAAGGTAAAAGTCAAACTAAACATTTAGTACAAATGGATTAAATTTCCTGTTAAAAATGTCAATTTTTTTTTTTTACAAATCAGTTTAATTCTCTTGAAAAGGGAAAGTGTTAGTCGTTCAGACATGTCCAACTCTGTGACCCCATGGACTGTAGCCCACCAGGCTCCTCTGTCCATGGAATTCTCCAGGCAAAAATACCGGAGTGGCTAGCAATTCCCTTTCTCCAGGGGATCTCCCCCACCCAGGGAAAGAACTTGTGTTTCCTGCTTTGCAGGTGACTTCTCTATCCTCTGAGCCACCAGGGAAACCCACAATCAGTTTAGATGACTCAATAAAACAGTGATGGTCCAGGAAGATACAAAATCACAGCCTGAATTAAGAAAGAAAACAGAGCAATAACAAATTTAGAAAAACCACTGTTAGAGATGTGCCCCAAGGTAAACCGTCTTCTGTTCAAATATTTGGTGTCCTTCTCAGGAGAACTGGGCTGCTTGATCCCATCGCTGTAGGCCTGGACGTGGGACTGGCTCTGCTCCAGGGAGAGGAGCAAACGGGCTTCAGAGCCAGTGTCTTGGGAATTCCCAGGTGGTCAAAGGGTCAGGACTCTGCGCTTCCACTAGGGGGCATAGGTTCAACCACTAGTCTGGGAGCCAAGATCCTGCAAACTGTGTGGTACTGCCCCAAACAAGAAACAAAGATCCCCCCAAAATGAAAGAACAAAAACAAAGACCCCCCGCAAACCAAAATCGACCCCAAACTAAAAACAAAACGAGCCAGTGTCTGGTTGGTACACTTGCTTCTCTTGCTCAGGATGACCTGTAACATTCCAGATCAGGGTTTTTTTTTTTTTTTTTGAACTCTGTTTCAGGTGTACAACATAGAGATTCAGTTTTTTAAAGTTATATTACACTACGGTTATTATAAAGATATTGGACTTATTTCCTGGGAAGAGCAAGGATTCTTAATTTGGGCCCTGTGGGTAAAATTTAGGGAGTTTTAAGACCTTGTATGAGAAGGGATTAAGTTTTATCTCCTTTACCTCTAACTGGAATTTTTCATTCCCATACATTCTGAGGATTCATTCCTCTTATTTGAGCTGCAGGTTTTACCTTCGACTGCTATCTCCCCATTTCTCAAACCGAACTCATAGAAACAAGGAGGAAAGTGCAGTTTCGGGGTCAGTGGGTCTGGGAGGGTCTGAGATCCTGTATTTCTAATGAGCTCCCAGGCGGTGGTGAGCTTTTCGGTCTGTACCACTCTTCAGGACTTCCCTGCTGGCTCAGATGGCAAAGCGTCTGCCTACCATGCGGGAGACCTGGGTTTGATCCCCGGGTTGGGAAGATCCCATGGAGAAGGAAATGGCAACCCACCCCAGTATTCTTGCCTGGAAAACCCCACGGATGGAGGAGCCTGGTGGGCTACAGTCCATGGGGTCGCAAAGAGTCAGACACGACTGAGCGACTTCACTTTCACTCTTCAGGAAAGCAAGAGTAGTATATTAAAATAATGAACACTTTGATAGCAGCTGTACTTAAATATAGTTTAATGTGATTGTTAAATTATGTTTATTAAATTATATATGTGATAATATTATGTTATTAAAATGTTATTCTAGGAGGGCTCTGTAAGCTTCACAAAACTGCCAGGAGTCCACAGCAGGAAAAAAGGGTTAAGAGTGCTTTTAGGTGGCATATTCCAGACAGGCCGCCCCACCAGCTGGGTCCTGGAGGGGAGACCACAGGCGTGGAGCTGGCAGTGACTCTGGGGGCACGAGGCTGAGCAGAGCTGGCCTCCGCGGCCACGGAGACGGGCACCGTCATCACAGCCTAGTCCATGCACCCTCCAGCCTCTGGGAAAAGAAAAGTCACAGATGGAGTACTGTGGTCACGTTCTACCCAATTGACCAGCAAAAGCGTTTGCATGTTCAATTCTTTAATAGCAGAGGGAAAGAAAAAAATGTCTCAACTCACTTCAGGATAGATTAACCCTGATATCAATACCAAGTGAAGAAATATAGAGTGGGATAAAACAAACATTGGAAGACAATGTCCTTTATGAGGTAAAATGCCAGACAATTATCTTAAGTGCAAAACATTTGAAATTCAACCATCACTAGTTTTTTTATAATTTAGTTGCTAAATTGTGTCCAACTTTTTGCAATCCCAAGGACTGCAACCCACCAGGTTCCTCTGCAAATGGGATTTCCCAGGCAACGATACTGGGGTGAGTTGCCATTTTCTTCTCCAGGGGATCTTCCTGACCCAAGGATCAAACCCACGTCTCCCACACTGGCAGGTGGGTTCTTTACCACTAAGCCAACAGGGAAGCCCGTCAACTATCATTCTTGATGGAAAAACCCAAAGCTGAACAAAACACATCCCAAGACCCAAGCCCACTTCCGCAGACTTGAAATAAAATCAAACAAAAACTTCTCAAACATGACAGTGATTTCCACAAGGATCCTAAGGACTTGAACCACAAGTGATGGTTTAAAAAAAAAAAAAAATCCAACTCACTCCTGGCAGTCCCGTGGTTAAAGCTGGGTGCTTTCACTGCCGAGGCTCTGGGGTCGATCTCTGGTTGGAGGGCTAAGATGCTGAAAGCTGCTCTTGTGGAGCGGCCAAAGAAAAAAAAAACTCAAGATATTCCATCAGAGTCAGGAGTAAGATACGGATAGGTTTACCTTCGCCACTACTCTTCAACTCTGACCCAGAGCACCAAGGCACTCTAGATGGAATAGAGACACAAACACGATTTGCGTATGATACTCTACCAGGACAATTCAAAAGCATAAACTTGACCTGCTAGAGTACAGAAGGCAGCCAGGGGCCTGGAGAGAACAGGCAGAACTTCTCTGAAGCTGGTTCTGCCGCTGTCAGCCCTCAAGGTTCCCACACACCCTGTTGCTACCCCATCCTTCATCCCAGTCTTCTCCCTGCAGAGAACCACATCCCGCCTTGGGAGGTGGGGAGGCCTGGTGCGGCCGAGGCTTGTTAAGTGCCGTGTTCCGCGATTCACAGTCTTAACTGAGTACTTTTCAGCTAGCCCACTCTGGGGAAAACACAGTTCTCATGTTTCTTTTGGACTTTATTCTTGTGGGCTTTTCACCTGAATATTGGCACTTCTGTTTGAGTGACTGCTTCTTCAGATCCTTTTCGGTTGGAGCCATCACCGATTTGCAGGCATCCTTGTGTGTTCTGAAGATGAACTCTGCCCCACGCTGCAAATTTCTTAACTTCTTAATGATGTCTCAGTGGAAGTTTTAACTTTAGTCATGATGATGTCTTAGTGCAAGTTTTAACTTTAGTCATATTTAATCTGTCTTCTTGGTGGACTTTGCTAATTGTGTTTACCCATCTATTTTCACCATAAATTTGTCCTCCTATATTTCCCAGTAAGTTATAGACTTTAACTTATTTAGGATATTTGGAATTTGAATGATAAAGTTCCCTATTAAAGATGTTGATTACACTACAAAAAGTGTTCTGTAAAGCAAAATCCTTGGCTGTCTTGACAACAAGTGCATGAGGGGTGACTGCACAGGGTGCTTTCCCTACAATGTAGCCCTGTTGACTTGAAAGAACTAAAAAAAACCACAGTTATTTCAGATTTGGTATTTGGCAGATGTTTCCTTAAATATGGACTGAGTAAGCCAGTCATGTCAAGGAAAGTTACTGACAATACTGGGATGATAACTTTTGGATTCTAGAAAGTTTGGATTGAAAAACATATATCGCTCACTACCCCAGGCCTGCAGCATCCTAGCTTTAGGTATTTCTACTGAGATTCATAATTAAACATGATTTTTCTCCTATGGTACAATGAAATGGATCAACATTTGGAAGAATTACAGAAGTTGGCAAAAGTCACATTTTTCCAAATGACTGGCGTATGACGGTCAAACCACGTATGGTTTGCGAGCCAAGCAAGCATGAGTAAGGGCTATTCAAAGTTGGAAACAGACAAATGGTATTTAACAAGTTTGAAAAATTTATGGGTGTGACTGCAAATTCTATACAGCAACTAATAAACAAACCACCATTTGTTGTATTTTGGTATAGTATTACCTGAAAAGACTATTGAAATACTCCTCCATTTCCAGTTACATTATGTGAGCAGCCAGATTTTCCTCTTACATTCCAACCAAAGGAACACATGGCAATAGACTGGATACTGGGATACAGGGATGAGAGTTCAGCTAAACCATGAAATAAGACACGTTTGCAAGTATATATGCACTGTTACTTGCTTTGTTTTGGAAAACAGTTACTTTTCATAGAGGTGTTTATATATAACAGGCTTACTGTTACTCTTAAATGAATAAAGTTTTGGTTTTAACTTCTAACGCAGTGACTGTCAATTAAAAAACTCTTCGGGGGATCTTCAGGTTTGAAGTGTAAAGGATCTCAAAACGGTGGTTGGAAAATCAGTGTTCTACCCATTTGGCAAAGGACCAGCTTCAGCCTTAAGCGGTCACCTGCACACAGACTGCCATCCCCACCTCCCTCTTGCAGCTGCGTCTGAGGGGCCATGTGGTCTATATTTGAGCTCTTTTTCTTAGTAATAGAACTCTCTCTCTGTAGCTGGGCACTTACCACACAGATTCAAGACTCCAAGCTCCCGGACTTCATTTCCACAGCTAAGAATCGCCACGCGACTAAGTTCTGGCCATCGACTGGGCAGATCTGGGCATCGACTGAAATGACGTGTGTAACTTCTAGGATGCTGCCTTTAAGGTGGGAGTAGAACTTCCTAGTGACTCAGACAGTAAAGACTCTGCCTGCAATGCAGGAGGCCCAGGTTTGATCCCTGGGTTGGGAAAATCCCCTGGAGAAGGCAACCCACTCCAGTCTTCTTGCCTGGAAAATTCCATGGACAGAGGAGCCTGGTGGGCCACAGTCCACGGGGTCGCAAAGAGTGAGGACACGACTGAGCGACTAACACAGCCATTTGGGACCACACCAATCTTTGGTATGTCCAAGCAACAAAACAGGACCCCGAGTCCCTGAAACAACGGGGCTGGCCTCCACATTCGCCAGCAGTCAGAAATATGTTGGCTTTATGCAACCATGGGGAAAGACGCTATGAGCGCCCCAGGGCCCACTCCTGCTTTCCAGAGGTAGCATGGGCCTGCCCAGCATCTCCACCCCTGGCTCAGGGAACCCCACCAAGGACATGGCCTCACCTGTGCTTCCATATCCCCCTCACGCTCTGTATTACTCCCGTAAAACATCACTTTAGCCCCCACCTGTCTCCTGAGGTTCTCCTGGTACCGTGGCCATAGGGCCTGATGACCCATTACAGGGCCCGTCCTGTTCACTGCAGGTTTTGGGCAGCACCTTCGGCCTCCACCCACCAGAGTGGCACATGCCCCAGCGGAGAAGCACTGCCTGATTATCCTCAGGACCGAGTCACCCACTTTGAAGGTGCCTAACCCGGCCCCCTTGATGAGGAGTCTCTCTTTGTTCAAATGGCTCCCATGGTCTGCGGGCGCACCGCCATCATCCTGGCAGCCCTATCTCCCGAGGCTTCACGAGGAGGCCGTTCACGATCCGCCCTTCCCAGGCAAAGCCGGCCCTTTGCTCTCTAGCTTCCAAAGCCCACTGTCCATTTCCAAGAGACACTAGGGGTCCAGAAAGCTGTCCTCTTGACGATGGAGCCTCAGGGTTTCAGCTGGGCATGTGGCTGCCCTTCTTGAAGGCATTTTCCAGCCCTGCTTCGTGCCTGGCGCGATCATGATTGAGTCCTGCTCACTATCCGGCTAGTCACCGGGGAGGCCACGTCAGGGGCCTGGCCTGGGGGAGGCTCCGAGCCTTCCTCCTGCTTCAGTTTTCCACCAGCTGAGACCGAGGTCCAGAGCAGCTGCCTCGGACCAGGAGACGAAGCTGTTTGTTAGGATGCTAGTTACATTCCACCAGCTGGGGACTATCTGGCTTCTTAAATTGTGCTTGAGAAAGAGAAAACTCATTGTGTTTAAGTCGTTTAGTCTGTGAGGGCAAAGAGATCAGTATCTCAACTCATGCAGGCGAGTGCAGGGTCAACACTGGACACCAGGGAGGGGGGAAGTTTCTCCAACAACCTGGACAGTGTGTGTCCGGCTCTGCGTACCATGCGGTCTCCAGCAGCAATGCAATAACCTCACTGCAGCGCCAGGAGACAGTGATTTTTCATGCAGCTGTTAATACATGACGGGCTTACTATTATCTGTAGCAGCAGCCACAGGTGACAGACGGGCCGGGCCTGACACCAGGCCCCACGCAGTGTGCAGAGCCTGTCTCTAGGTCAGTCCTTTGCCCCAGCACATCTGGTTTCTCTGCGTTCTCAGCAGCGCGGCTGCTCAAGGGCACCTTCCGTCCAGAAGCAGCCTCACTGCTCTTAGCCACGACCCCGACGGCCACGGGGCCTCTGTGCGGACCCTCCCTCTGCCCGCCTCTCCAACCGCATCCCACCCCCGTTCTGCTCCGTCCACGCCTCTGCGCAGCAATCCCCTCCGCCTGGAGTCCTTCCTTATCCTCGCCCGACTCCTCAGGCATCTCTCCTACCCGAAGAGCCTCTTCTTCCAAAAAGTCTGCCATCACCAGCTTACGACAGTCTCCCCCGTCAGTTACTATCACTGCCTTTGTGACTTTTCAGGCCCCAGCGCCTCCCACGGGATCGCATCCTGAGGCAGGGACCTTCTGAGCCAGGCTCACCAGCATACATTCCTGTTCTCGGGTTTTTTTCCCCAACACGCAAGTTTGGGACAAACGAACGGGTACCTACCCGTGTGGATTCTTAGGTGGCGGTCCAGATCTTTCATGCCATGGACAGTTTTGAAGTGGCAACCTAGAAAAGAAAGACAGGTTCCCTTAACAGAACCTCACAGAGGAAGTCAGGAAGAATCTGAAATTCCGGCAGGTCACACACTGAGTTGGTGGCTGGGCGCGTGTGATGGAGCCGGGTGCAGAGCGGGGCTCAGCACGTCGAGTCTACCCTCTACCTGGATAGCAGCAGTTGAAGGTCCTCTCCCCAAGGGTCGCTGTTGGTTCCTTTGACTCGGGGGGAAGAGCTGCGACAGGGGCTTTCTGGACGTCACTGCCATCAGTGGAGGGACAAGGTGGTGTGGGAACGTCATTATCTAGTTCCGAAGCTGAAATCGAGACAATGGGAAGTATTACTTAATTTCTCAAATATAAGCACCATGATCAGGAAGACCCCCTGGAGGAGGAAATGCCAACCCACTCCAACACTCTTGCCGGGGAAATCCCATGGACAGAGGAGCCTGGCAGGCTTCAGTCCATGGGGTCGCAGAGTCTTCTGAGCACACAAGTCTTATAACAGAGCAGGTCTGGGCTTATTTCACCTACTCCCAACTCCTGCCAGAAAAACCCCAGATATTACAGATTAGAAGCCATGCACACTCTGGTCTTGACCATCCTCTTCACAATTTCCAGGAAGCAGAGGGTACCAAGGAACATGGAATGTGTCAGGGACGTGACTGTCAAGACCCAGACTTTGCAACCGTGTCTTTCAAACGATGTGGGGAAGACCTGGTTTGTAAAATAACTTCTGATCCATCAGACCAGCATTTTTAATAAAATAAACAAAGTATGAGAAAAGTGGAATAACACAGTAAAAGCCCAGATGTTTCAGATATGACATAAAGCTGGATGTTTGTTGCATTACTTTTAAATGCTGTTTCTGAACTTATTTTGACTCAACTCAGCAACAAGTCACAGACCACACCACACTTCAAGTGTCACTGCTCTCCAGGTTAAAATGCTACCGTTTCAACCTGAAACATGAAGGAAGAAAACACTACAGACTAAAAGGCTTGAGATGGTCTGCAGTATCAGGACTTTCTGGGATCCTGATTAAACATACTGTAAAATCCATTTAAGACCCTGGGATGCACCAGCACTAAATGAACATTTAAGGGAAGTTTTTAAGGTGTGAAGATGAAATTAAAGTTTTAAAAGAGTATTCTAGTAGTTTGCATACGTTCAGGCTAGTCATGTCCAACTCTTCACAACCCCAGGGACTGCAGCCCACCAGGCTCCTCTGTCCATGGGATTCTCTGGGCAAGGATACTAGAGTGGGGCTGCCACACTCTCTTCCAGGGGATCTTCCAACCCAGGGATTGGACTGGACTCTCCTGCATGGACAGGCAGGTTCTTTACCACTGAGCCACGTGGGAAGCCGTGTTCTAGCAGTTTGGGGATGGCTCTCTGTAGACTGTAGATGTCTGATGTGCATCAAAATAATCTAGGGCAGGGCAACGGCTGTATGAAGAAACAAGGTCGGCCACCAGTGGTTGAAACTGAGCCTCTGGTTCATGAAGCTCATCACATAACCCTCTGTTAGCAAGGCTGACCCAGGTGTTACTACAGTTTCTGTCGGTCAAAATGGCCAGATTATTTCATATGGTTCAATCTAATAGGAAACTTTAAAAACTTCTACAACAAAGACCAAGTGCTCCTCAAAGACTATAAAGTGATTTCTCTCCAAATAGATTTAAGACCCAGGTAAAAGGAGGTGCTGTCAATATTTTAAGTCTGAAAAGAAAAACATATTAACTGGTTTATGAATTACAGCCCAGGGCCAGGGACTTTTGATCCCAGGCTTCCCAGGTGCTTTAGTGGTAAAGAATCTGCCAGCCAAGCAGGAGATGCGGGTTTGATCCCTGGGTTGGGAGGAAAATGGCAATCCAATCCAGTATCCTTGCCTGGGAAATCCCATGAACAGAGGAGCCTAGTGGGCTGCAGACCATGGGGTTCCAAAGAGTCAGACATGACTCAGTGAGTGGGCAACACAGAAGGTGGATTCCGCCTTCCTTGACAGATCGGTCAAAGCAAACCTTCTTACCATAGAAGCTGCAGAACACGATGATGAGGGTGTAGGGTTTGCACAGTCACATGCTAGCTGTGTGATTACCGGCAGCTTACTTAACGTTTCTGAGCTTCGGTTTACTTATCTGTAGAGAGGCATCACTGACCTGCCTCCAGGTAAGAAGAGATGCACTATGTAAATTCCTGGCACAGGTCCAGCCTCCACTGTGCCAATGCTATTGCAGGGCTTCGGTTAAAGGACTGCAGGTGCCATATCCAAGGAGCTGCGATGCTTGACGCCCCTTCACGGGGACTGAACAAGGGACGGAGGCCTATGCCTTTCAACTGGGGGTCATTTTGCAATACCTGGGGACACTTTTGATTGTCACGATTGTGTGCACACGTTTGTGACAGTGGCGTCTAGTGGGTAGAGGCCAGGGACGCTGCTGAACATCCAAAGATGCACGGAACCCCCCCAAACGCAACATCAGAATCACCTGAACTGTGGGTTAAATGTAGTCTCCAAAGCCTCATCCACCTTAACTGGGGAGGAGGTGAGCCCAGGAACCTTTATTTTAAAGTACGCCAACCTCACACTACTCTCCAAGCCTTTGATAACTCAAAGGGTGGCCCTCAGAGTACTAAAACCAGCATGATCCAAGAGCCTGTTAGAAAGGCAGAGCCCAGCTCTCAGACGTAGAGTCTGTGCTTTAACAAGATCCCCAGGTGAGGCCCATGCACATCAAGTCAGAAGCACAACTCCAAGCCAGAGCTTCTCAAATTACCCATCATCACGGTCACCTGGAGGGCTTGTTAAGGTACAGGTGGCTTGGCTCCCCCTCTGGAGGTCCCAAGTGGAGCTGGCAGTGTTTCATTTCTAACAAGTTCCCAGCTGATGCTGCTGGTCTAGGGGGCCACGCTTTGGGACTTTCTGTGAGAAGAGATGGAGGAGGCACTGGCACCCCACTCCAGTACTCCTGTCTGGAGAATCCCATGGACGGAGGAGCCTGGTAGGCTGCAGTCCATGGGGTCACTAAGAGTCGGGCACAACTGAGCAACTTCCCTTTCACTTTTCACTTTCATGCACTTGAGAAGGAAATGGCAACCCACACTCCAGAGTTCTTGTCTGGAGAATCCCAGGGACGGGGGAGCCATAGACGGGGCTGCAGTCTATGGGGTCGCAGAGTCGGACACGACTGAAGCGACTTAGCAGCAGCAGCGGGAAGGGAACCGGGCTCAGAGACGCTGCTCAAGGCTGCTGGGCAGAAGTTCTCTGCGAATCAGAATCCACACTTGGAGATCTGAAGTCCATCACTGTGCCTCAGAGGAAGAGGAAACCTTGCATTGTTTAGCAATTTGCGTGTTAAAGAAAGAAAGCCATTAAACTCATGAGGGTTTTTAATCCCACTGAAACCAAGGAAGACTGGAAAGCTGAAAAGCTAAGACTGGAAAGCTAAGTAGGAGGCTGTGAAGCACAATGGCTGCCTGGGAAGCCAGCTGATAAGTTCCAGATTCCAATTCTATTCTTTATTAGCTGTGTGACCCTGGTGGAGTTCCTCAACTTTCCTGTTCCTCGGTTTCCAGATTTATAAAATGAGGATTTTGGTCCCCATTTTCCAGGTTTAGACAAATATTGAATTCCTTAACATACTTTTGTAAAAGAACCTTCTGAGTCAGCACTATACAAATGTTCTTGGTTGTATCCACTGATGTGTGCAGACATGAGCCACCAAATTCCCAGGGAGAGGGAAGCAGCTCACAGTGCCAATGTGAAGGCAGGCAGAAGGGAGACTTTCGGGTTAAAGCTCTCAGAAAACTGTGCCCAAGGCTACAAAGGGTCACCCAGGCAGAAAACGGCAGAGCTTCAGAGGCGACCTCCTTCTTCCAGGAAAGGAAGGAAGGTGGGAAGCCTGCTCTCCCGAGACAGGCGCAGCTGGGGCAGAGACCCTTCTAGACTGGAGGAGGATGGTGAGAACTCAAGGGTAGCAGTGGTCCTTCGAGCCTTTTGAGAAACTGCTGGTGTTCTTTTGGTAAGGTTGTGTTCCTGCCTCAGTTTCTCTCTGGTGGTGACTGAAGTCTACCAACTGACCCGTGTCACTATCTCCTCCAGAAGCTACATGAGCTGCAACGACACCTGCAAATTAACAGCAGCCCAACCTTAAAAACGGCTTCCTAGTAGAGGATCCGCCTGCCAATGCAGGAGATGCAGGCATGTGGGTTTGATCCCTAGGTCGGGAAGATCCCCTGGAGGAGGAAATGGAAGGAAACTGCACCCCACTCCAGTCTTCTTGCCTGGAAGATCCCATGGACAGAGGATCCTGGTGGGCTACAGTCCACGGGGTCTAAGAAAGTCAGACACACTTAGCAACTGACCCCCCCCCCCCAACATACAGCATGTACAACCTTAAAAAGGGGGGGGGGCTCCAGCTCAACATCAGAACAGACCTGAGGCAAGTGCAGGGGAACGTCGGTTACAGGTCTGTTTTTCTCTGCAGCGGGGGCTGGTGTTGAGGGGCCCTGGCACCCCCCAGAGCCACACAACACAGAACAGCCTCCCCAACCCCTGCAAACAGAGAGCAAGCCTCCACGAGGTTGCCCTCCAAGCGCTGTTTGCAGGGCTAAAAAGCAGCCCATGGCACTCACTCTGAACAGCCTGTGCTCCTTTAAGAACAGTCTTATGTTATCGCCCCCCGCCCCCAAGACTCAGCATCTCCAGTACCCCCGCAATTCTTTTTACAGAGGATCGGCAGCCCTGCCCCACTCCCAGGAAGACCCTGGTTCTTCCTGCCTATCCGCACTCTAGACCTTGAGCACAGAGACGGGGTGTTTGGGTTGCAGAAGTTTCACCCAGCCAAGCTTCACTTTCACACACAAACCACGAGTTTAGGAGCGGCTCTGTGAAGCTGGCTCTCTCCTCACCGCCTCCCTGGGGGCAGTGTGGTCGTCCGAGCCCACCAGACACCTGCCGCTGGACGTCTGGCCCTTCTCGCAGAGGACACCAGATCCCACCTCTCCCTTTTGGAACCAGGAAGATGCGGGGGGCGGGAGGGGGGGTGGAGGGAAGGAGGGAGAAGGGGAGAAAGTTCCAGTGAGGGCTCCTCTCACCAGCTTCTGGCTAAGCAAAAGGTGGCAGCTCTCCACGGGGGTGGGTGGGAGGGGTGGGGAGGAGAGACCTGAAATAGGAACCTACATGGTCTTATCTGAGGACAAGATAATCACAACGGGAAGCGCCTTAGAAATGCAGATTCCCCGACTCCACTCCACCCCTGGGATTCCAGGAGCGCGGGGTGGGAGCCGGAGGAATCCAGAGGGTTCTCAAAGCTCCCCACCCGCAGGGTCTTCGGAGGCAGAGGCTGCCTTGGGGCACTCAGGGTAGCCCAGGGTCTCCAAGCTTCTCCTGGAACCCCTCTAACCCTACACCCCACCACCGCGCTGACCCCGCTCCCGCCCCCAAACCATGGCGCCACTTCGCTCAGAGTAAAAGTCGACATCCTTACTGGAGCCCGGGACCCCCGTCCCTTCTCAGACCTCCGTCGGACGCCCCCGCCCCAGCTCCAGCCTCGCTATCGCCCTCTGCCGTCTCTACCGCTCGCTCAAAGCCTCCGGAGTTTTCCTCGACGGTGCCCCCCGCCGAGAGGCCATCCCCGGGCAGCACCCCGGCCCCTCCCAGCCCTGTGCGTTCCCAGCGCTCACCCCTAACACGCTGCACGCGCCACCGCTTTATCTCGGGGGCCACCGCTCCGCTCCCTAGCGGCCTCGACCTCCAGGAGGACGGTTGGTCGCAGTGCCTCCGCTCTAGCACCTCTCCCCAGGGCCCGGCAGAAGCTCGGACATTTCCCCGCCAACACCCAGGAAGACGCCTGGGATCTCGGAACGCCCACCTCCGAGGCGCACATCCCCAGCCCGGCGCCTAGGAGGCCCGGCACGCCGAAGGCTGCCTCCAGAGGGATCTCAGAGCATCCTTCCAAGGTGTCCGAGGAATGAACCGTCATCGAATAGCGCTTGGGGGGCTGGGAGGTAGCCGTGGTTGCAAGAGAGCGACTCGGGGAGCGACATAATCTACCCGAGAAGGGTCAATTTACAAGGGTGTGTGTGTGTAACTTACAAAGGCAAGGGTAACAAGATCTGAGCCCCAGAACTAGAGTTGGAAGCCTCACCGCCACCACCCCCCGCCCCCCCGAGCCTGATGGCCGGGACCTCGCACCTGCGCGGGTCTGCGGAAAGTCCGAGAAAACCGCCCCCAGCCCCGGGATCCGCAGCGCCACTCACCCGGCTCCCCCGCCGCCTCCCGGGCCGCCTCGGGGAACTCCCGGATCGCCGGCTGAGGCTGCTCGGAGCTGAGATGCTGGGGCCTGGCCTGCTTGCGCCGCGACATGGCGTGAGGATCGGGGCTCTGGCGACTCCCTGCGAGCGGCCAGCCTCACACAGCCAATTCCTGGAGTTCGGGAATTAACTCGGCTCGGCCGGAGCGCGCACGTCCCGGCAATCCTACTCCTCAACCCAGAGGGACGGTTTATCAGGAGCCCCGGCGGCGGACTGGCCCGCAGCCAAGACCTCGGGACTCTCGGGGAAGCGCGGGGCGCACCCGGGCAGCCCGCACCGGCTGGGAACTCGTTAGAAATGCAGACTCTCGGGCTCCACCCCAGACCCGCGGAACCAGAATCTGCATTTTAACAAGCTCCCCAGGTGATTCGCATGCACATTAACGTTTGAGAAACCGTGTCTGCATTTTAACGAGGTCCCCAGGTGATTCGTTTACCCATTAAAATTTTAGAAGCACAGCTCTCCTGCAACTTTAATGTGCGCGCGAATCACTGGGGATCTCGTTAAAATGCAGATTCTGACTCAGTGGGTCTGGGGTGGTGCCTGAGCTTCTGTATTTCTAACGAGCTCCCAGGTGATGCGGCTGCCGCCCAGGCAGCGCTGTTAGATTCCGGCTTAATTGGTCTGGACTGAACCCTGGGCATTGGTGTGTATATTTAAAAAAAAGAATTTTTTTTTTTTAAGTCCCCAGGTTATTCTGAAGTGCAGCCAAGGTTGGGAAGCACGACCTCCACTCGTGGCTGCGTATTCGAATTTAAAATTTAAATTAGGCTACAATTGAAGGGTGAACCCACGGGTCCTGGAAGAGCCGGGTAAAAATGCAGATTCCGCAAGTTTTCGCTTCAGGCATCAGGGCCCAGGAATCTGTATTTCTACGCAGCGTCTTCCCCATCCTCCGCCCTCCTCGCCCGGCCCCGGGACTCCGGCGCCCGGGCTCCGAGACCACACGGAGGAAGCCTGGGGCCCAGAGGGGAGCGGACCCCGCCCGGCAGGTGACCGAGGCGTGGTCCTGGGGGCGGGGGGTTGAGCTAACTGGCGTTCTCGCTCAGACTGGCTGGGTCTTGATGAGACCCGAGGGGACCCCTCCTGGCACGAGGTAAACGACATCCGACCGGGAGCAGAAAGCCACCTGCGAGCCCCAGGTGTTCGCGCTCTTCGGTTGGGGAGTCACTTCCGGCGGGGCTGTGCCCGGAGCGTGCCCGAACCTGAGAGTCACGTGGGGGCTCTGGTTAAAAAGACCCAGGTTCGGCGCTGAACCCGTGGGGGGGGCCTGGGAATCCCCGTTTCTAACACAGCCGCGGGTGAGTTTGTCTTCTGCGGCTGGTCCGGCCCCGCGCGGTTTCCGCTTCATCCAGTAATGCACCTTTTGTGACGTTTACCCTTGACAAACCCTAGGGGGCTGCCTGCGAGAAGCACATTTTTACATTTCTCAAAGACAGAGCTCAATTTTCCTCAAATTTCCCGTTAATTTTCAAGTTGTAGATTGATTGTCAAGAGGTCTGTGTAAGGCCGGGTGGAGTCACTCAAGATTAAATTTTCCCGACGTTTTTAAAAGCAGCTTTTTCAGTTTTCTCTGGGATGTGTGCCTATGTGCACATACGGTGGCGGTGGCGTTGGCGGGTCAGTGGCTCAGTCGTGTCCGACTCTTTCGGCCCCATGGGCAGTAGCTCGCCAGTCTCCCCCTCAATGGAGTTTCCCAGGCAAGGACACCGGTGCGGGCTGCCCTCACCTTCTCCAGGGGATCTTCCCGGCCCAGGGGCAGAACCCGCATCTCCTGTGTCGCACTGAAGGCAGACTTTACCGACTGAGCTACGAGGGAAGCCCCGGGCACACACACAGGCAAAGCCATTTCAGAACACCCACGTGTGCTTTGTTTTGTCTGTGTCCTTTTGGAATGTCTCAGGAGGGTTATGAGGTGGCACTTGTTGCCTCTTGTTGGTCAGTCGCTCAGTTGTGTCCCACTCTTTGAGACCCTGTGGACTGCAGCACGCCAGGCCTCCCTGTCTTTCACCATCTCCCAGAGTTTGCTCAAACTCATGTCCATTGAGTCAATGATGCCATCCAACCACCTCACCTTCTGTCGTCCCCTTCTGCCCTCAATCTTTCCCAGCATCAGGGTCTTTTCCAATGAGTCGGCTCTTCGCATTAGGTAGCTTAAATATTGGAGCTTCAGCATCCGTCCTTCCAGTGAATGTTCAGTGTTGGTTTCCTTTACGATTAACTGGTTTGATCTCCTTGCAGTCCAAGGGACTCTCAAGAGTCTTCTCCAACATCACAGTTCGAGGGTATCCTTTCTTTGGCGCTCAGCTTTCTTTATGGTCCAACTCTCACATCCATACATGATTACTGGAAAAAACACAGCTGTGACTAGATGGTCCTTTGTTGGCAAAGTGATGTCTCTGCTTTTTAATACGCTGTCTATGTTTGTCATAGCTTTTCTTCCAAGGAGCAAGTGTCTTTTAATTTCATTTCTGCAGTCACTGTCCACAGTGATTTTAGAGCCCAAGAAAATAAAGTCTGTCACTTTTCCATTTTTTTCCCCATCTATTTGCCATGAAGTGATGAGACCAGATGCCGTGATCTTAGTTTTTTGAATGTTAAGTTTTAAGCCAGGTTTTTTACACTCGTCTTTTACCTTCATCAAGAGGCTCTTTGATTCCTCTCTGCTTTCTGCTATTAGGGTTGCCTCTGGAAGTTGAAAGAGGAAATGCATGCAACCTGGAGGTGGGGAGAGGTCTGATAGCGCTCTACCACTCGAGGAGGTGTGTGCCTGTGTTTGTATTTGCTTTGGATGGAGATAATTTCTTCAGCTTAGGTCACAGAATTGGATTACCCGATCTTTGGTATCAGTACATGTCCCGCTGTCATCCGTGATGTGTCGCTGGCCTGCATTTGTTTGGTTGCTTGTTTGTTCCTTGGCTTATTATGATATGATTACTACCAGGGAACACACAACCCCGGCGCGCCAGGACCTTAACCATGACCTGCATTTCTCATATATCTTCCTTAACCCCTCCCCCAATTTAATAGCCATCAACCTAAACCCTCCATTCTTCATTTCTTTGCCTTTTTTTCCCCTTGGCAAGTTTTTTTCTTTTTTGTACCTACACGTATTCCTTAAATCTTAATTTTTCAAGAACTTCATTAAAAGGGAACGTAGTGACTTCCCTGGCGGTCCACTGGTGCTGCCTTCCAATGCAGGGGGTGCGTGTCTCTGATCCCTGGTCAGGGAGCTAAGATTCCCACATGGCTTGGGGCCAAAAAATCAAAGTGTAAAACAGAAACAATGTAACAAATTCAACAAAGACTTTAAAAAATGCTCCACATAAACAAATACTAAAAAGAAAAAATAAAAGGGAATGTCATCTCCCAGGAATTACTCCCTCGTTTATTATATTGCTTAGGTCATCCAAACTGTTACTGTTGTCCAACCATTTTGACTGATGTGTAATATTCCAGTCTCATTGTCTGCTTTCCTGTTGATGGGCGCTTGGGTTGTCTACCAGTCTTTGCCTTCTCACTAGTGCGGCTACGATCTTTCTGAAAAGTGTCAGTTTCTTAAATGAATGCATACATTGGTTGGACTGTAAGAGACTAAGAAATGATGAAACAGTGGAGGCATCAGCCTCACTTTCCCAGCAAAGTAGGAGGGACCGTGGAGCCACCTTCTTTCCCACATTCCATGTTATCAGATGTCTTAATTTTTGCCAATCAAATTGATGTGCAAAGATATTTCACTATGGTTTTGACTTGCATTATCCTTGCATGTATTTCTACAAAAAACAAAGTGAAAAATTAGCAATGTTTTCTACAAGTATCATGACAGCAACAGATTAAAATTTGTTTCCTTTTTTGAAGGCATTGTTTTAGTATTTTGTGATACATCCATTCAAAGTTATGATCCTAAATAAAGCTCTGTACCATGTTCAGTTTTAGTGGCTTAATTTCAGGGTCATCAGGGTCATCACTGAAAAACTGAAGAGGAGAAAACCTCACAGAATATATAGAAAAAAGCAAAGTACCATTAGGTATGCATAAGTTTCGGTTCTTCCTTTTTAATCCCATTCACCAGTTAATACAAACTGACTCTTCATTTTCCTTGAAATCCAGCTCATAAATTTTCAACTTCCCTGATAATCAACCTGGGGCCTCTCTACAAACTAAACTAAAGATGATGCACCACTATATGTGTAACAAGTGGATTTCAAACCCACTGAAGCTTTTTAGGTGGAAGATATTTTAAAAGATTAGGAAATTCTGTTGCCAAGTTTAAACATGCAGATAGAGGTTTTTTATAGGTGACAGCTTTTCTTTATTTTCAGCAACAAAATCACCTAACAAAGGAATCCTGGCCAAACAGTGCATTTCAAATATTCACACCATATCATGTTCCTCTTGGAAACTAGTTACTTTATTTTTTAGAACTTCTTTTTTTTCTTTGGTCTTGTCTCTGGGCATGTAAGATCTTAGTTACCTCAGTTCATTTCAGTTGCTTAGTCTTGTCTGACTCTTTGCGACTCCATGGACTGTAGCACTCCAGGCCTCCCTATCCATCACCAACTCCCAGGGTCCACCCAAACTCACGTCCATCGAGTTGGTGATGCCATCCAAACATCTCATCCTCTGTCATCCCTTTCTCCTCCTGTCTTCAGTCTTTCCCAGCATCAGAGTCTTTTCCAAGGAGTCAGTTCTTTGCATCAGTTGGCCAAAGTATTGGATTTTCAGCTTCACCATCAGTCCTTCCAATGAACACTCAGGACTGATTTCCTTTAGGATGGACTGGTTTGATCTCCTTGCAGTCCAAGGGACTCTCAAGAGTCTTCTCCATCACCACAGTTCAAAAGCATCAATTCTTCGGCGCTCAGCTTTCTTTATAGTCCAACTCTCATATCCATATATGACCACTGGAAAAACCATAGCCTTGACTAGACGGACCTTTGTTGACAAAGTAATGTCTCTGCTTTTTAATATGCTGTCTAGGTTGGTCATAACTTTTCTTCCAAGGAGCAAGTGTGTTTTAATTTCATGGAAGCAGTCACCATCTGCAGTATT